CAAAAAAACGTGGCATTGTGCATTTTCTATAATTTTCCTTTTGTTGTGGCCACATGCATAAAGTGATGTGCAACAGCATAAATAGCGTCATATTTAACAAAAAATACATGAATATATATTTAAGAAGCGTCAACAATACTAATAATCTTATTAATTTGATATTCGGCGATACCACCTCTTAGTATAACATAATCCGGGGATTGAAAAAAAATTCGCGTACAGAAATTCTGAAACTGAACACATATTTTCTCTGAATTCTTCTGCATCAACTGGCATATCGGGTATACCCATGTTTCGTTGGAACTGCGAGATATGACCGAATCTTTAACAGAAACACCCATGATGTTTTAGATGAATATGGAAAGGCTAAGATGATAACAGATGTCATGTTGATTCTTAAAGGAGCTTAGTCCATCGAAATTTCAGAAAATATCATTCAATGAGTATGTGTGCCGATGGTTTTTGCGTAAATTAGGTTGTGGTAAATTAGAATTTTCGGCGCTTCTTCTCTCTTTTTTTCAATCAATAATAGCGCCGCCCCGTTAAAAAAACATTTTCCAATTACGAAAGAACGATGTGCTCCGCCGATCGCGTCGCTGAAGTGGAGAGCATTTTGATTTTGTAACAAGACAAGTCATTTTCAATGTAGCCATGCGATTTTTGATGCAACAGGGTGCTCATTATTTTCCCGACAGACTGCTAGAGGTCTGTGCCAACGTATCAGTCTGTCGGGGGAACAGTGTGGATCTGTCGCAGCAAAAAGTCTTGCCTCATGTGCACCAAGTATCCAGCCGCGGCCGACGGGTGATTCCAAGGCGCGGTGAATCCACATTATTTTCCCGACAGTCTGATAGAGGGAGTGCTCAAGGAGCGACGCTCAGAATTTCGTTAAATTTTGTACTTCAGAAAGTTTTAGCTCGCGCGTTACTCGGCCAACCGAGATATAGCACGATCTTTACCGCTGCGAGAGTACGCGAAAAGCGGGAAGCGGTTAGAAGTACACAAAAAAACTTTTTAGCGGTATCTTTGCCAGCTTCAAATGGAAAAAACTGATTTTTTGTGGAACAATTCCTCTCTACGCTAGAAGCAAGCTGAAAACTTTTCATGCCAAAATCCGCAAAAAAATGTCACATTTTCATCAGCTTATAAAAAATTACTCCAAATTAGAGCCGGTGCGTCACCCCTAGAGCGATATGCCTATCAGCAGTTCTAAGAATCGCCATTAGAAAGAATAAAGAGTCTCATCAGTTTCTAAGTATGAAGAACTTTTCGACTTTTCATCCGAACCTACGTATATACATATATGACAACAAACTAGGCCTACAAAAAAAAACATTTTAAAGGCCCCAAGATGCAATTTTATATTGAAAGTAACCTCAGTACAAGAAATTCATTTTTGGATAACTTGCTATTTGTTTTACAGAGATCCTGTATTTTTCAAATCAAAATCGAGATAAAACTCTGTAAAAAAATGGTTTCAGCAAAGCAGCGACAAAGGATTTGGCCCTAAAATTGTGCCAAATATCGCTAAAATATTGTTTCTCAAAAATTGGCCAGATCTGGTCGAATTTTTTTATCTCGCATCCAGCCATATTCATTGTCCACATTCCCCCAAAAAACCCCTTTCATTCTTGAGTCACCCATTCCCCTATCACTAACTCAAACAAAACTTGGTAATCGCGCACCCCTCAGAGACCGGAAAACTTATGTTCCCGACGCATTACCGCATCATAATCATTACGTCTCGCCTACCGAAAGAGGCGCACGTCACAAAAGAAATTCGTCAACTCAACGAAATAATCACCGCAAAATCGCTTCCACAAAACGCCGCAGTAAAAGAAAGCGAAAGTTAGGCGTGGTAGGAATCACAAAAAGAATTCGCTCGAACCACCTGCGGCGTTCGGACGGAGAAAATATTTATTTTTTTCTTCTTCGTTGCGGGCAAGGCCGGTTTGTTTTTTACTGCTACTTTTTTGCGGCGACGATAAATTATGTGGAAAGGCGTACACATATGTAAATGTGGAATCGAGTCTTGATTAATGGGCAGGTGGCGAGTGGGAGGCGACTTTGAAAAGCTTCACGGCATACAAAATAAATAGTAGTCATATTTTTCATAACGTGTTTTTACAATCTGCCGGGAAAATAATGAGCAAATGCCGCTGCGCCGATCGCGTCGCTGAAGTTAAAAAAAAATGTCAGTCTGTCGGGAAAATAATGAGCACTCTGTCGCATCGCAAATCGCGTCGCGGAAGTTAAAATCAAATTGATTTTTTCGCGACACAATTCACTTTCTCGGCGGCAATGCGATTTTTGATGCAACAAAATGTTCATTATTTTCCCGACAGACTGATATTACAATTTTCATAAAGTGCATGGACATTTTTTCCGCGGCCCGCACCGTGCACAAAAACCCCAATTTTGCACCGTGCATTTCGCCTTCTTGTTTGGCTTTCGCACTGTGCATGAGAAATATTGCTGCGACGTGAGCTTTTTTCGAACTGCGTCGCTGCGGTTTTTCTGGAGAGTTTGCATAGTGCAAACGGTCTTTTTGAGGTTTGCACAGTGCGAAAACAGAAATGCACTGTGCGTTAGCGACAAGCGTGGGAGAAAGTTTAAAACGCACAGTGCGTAAAAGAAAAAATGTCCATGCACTTTATGAAAATACGAATAGCAATATTTTACTTATAGAAACCCCTTATTTAACAAAAAGAAAATATCAATCATCCTGGCCAAGATGGAATCAGTTGATGGCTTTCGGCATCGCAGATTTTGTCGACCGAGCAAATTATCAGCCTGTCGGGAAAATAATGTGGATTTGAGGTAGCAAAATGTCTCACCTCGACATTTTGTCCCAATCTCGGCCGTGGCTAGCCGTCGCAAAGCGATTCCAATGCGCGATGAATCCACATTATTTTCCCGACAGACAGATATTAGTCCAAGTGAGACGGCCGGATTTTGATGACCGAAAAATGCAGTTGTCTTGTGTCAACACAGTCGAAAATTTGAAAAAATTCGAATCTCAGGTCAACCGTTACTCTTGATACTATACTGGTTGACAAAATTTTCTTTCCACCTCGTATCTCGGGAACCGCTGGGCCTAGAACCTCAAAATTCGGCACAGAAACATCATGGGACAATCTAACGGCATACCCAAAAAATCATACCATTTGTTGCACTTTCAGTGCACTTTTTATGCAACCGGCAAAAAAAGAGATGACAAAATTTTCTTTCCACTATGGAAAAACATTTGTAAATTAATAGCCAAAGGCATGATTGTGGTATCGTTGTGATCGCAAAGAAGTCCTCTTTCTATTCGTGTCACAATTTTACAGGAGTTTTCGTTGTTTCGCCGTTGGGCGTCTGCTGATCGTTGCGTTGTCCGTTTTCGGCCAAATTCGTGGACAGAGAAGCTCGCAGAAGGCCCAAGGAGATGAAACTGCCCTTAAAAAATCTGGTATTTATGTCTGCAACATTTTTTACACCGGCAGTAAAATTAGATTCAATTTAAGTGTGTTACATGGGAAAATGTGCACTTACAGGGTTCTCGTTGCCAGAAAATTACGTTATTATGGGAACACTGCAGATAATTCAAATAATTTTTCCTGCTGATATATTTTCTATGATACTACAGACTTTAAAAATAGTGAAGATTTTAGTCTCTAATGTCGCGCTTAGGTATGAGCAGAAGAATGGTTCCACATGCCCCTGTGCAAGATTTGCAACCCTAAGCTTTCCGCGCAAGCTGTTTGTCGTGGCAAAAACGTTAAAGGCGGGTCAATGTCAATGTATTAAAATAGGCTGGCAGTTAAATTTCCCAATATATCAAGGTCAAGTTATGGCGATGCCTCTCTGTCATGTAGTGCAACAACCTGTATTACATAAGACGACATAGACCGCAAGGGGTAAGGTAAGGCGGTAGGCTTCAACACATACGGTCGTATAATACCTAAAATACGCCATATGTACTGCAAAGGCATGTCATTTTGACGCTTCCATTCTATACACAAGCAATTTTCCGGTTTCGCGCACTCTAAAGGTGCGCATTTTCCCATGCAACACACTTAAATTGAATCTAATTTTACTGCCGGTGTAAACAATGTTGCAGACATAAATATCAGATTTTTTAAGGGCAGTTTCATCTCCTTGGGCCTTCTGCGAGCTTCTCTGTCCACGAATTTGGCCGAAAACGGACAACGCAACGATCAGCAGACGCCCAACGGCGAAACAACGAAAACTCCTGTAAAATTGTGACACGAATAGAAAGAGGACTTCTTTGCGATCACAACGATACCACAATCATGCCTTTGGCTATTAATTTACAAATGTTTTTCCATAGTGGAAAGAAAATTTTGTCATCTCTTTTTTTGCCGGTTGCATAAAAAGTGCACTGAAAGTGCAACAAATGGTATGATTTTTTGGGTATGCCGTTAGATTGTCCCATGATGTTTCTGTGCCGAATTTTGAGGTTCTAGGCCCAGCGGTTCCCGAGATACGAGGTGGAAAGAAAATTTTGTCAACCAGTATAGTCGCGCCATAAAGTCCTGACACATTTTGCACCGTGCATTCTTCTTTCATTTCATCCGCACTGTGCATTTTTTCGCATTTGTCGCCCCGATTTCCCGTTTTTGCACTAGCGACGTGGACTTTCGCGCGCGACAAACCCGAATTTGGGGGCGCGACGTCCAAACCCCGAACTTTCGCACGGTGCAAAATGTGTCAGGACTTTATGGCGCGACTAGTAAACAAACATAAAACTGTATTTACCCCACTTCTGAAGAACTTCAACCACTTTTCTTATCAGCATGCTACCTCATCGTTATCTGTTTACCGTTTTTATTTATAAGCCATGAGTCACTCTAGCTCTCTGTCAGCTAAATTAAACAATGTTTACGAAAGCGCTGCCTAATTGGCTAATTTAAAATCAACAGGTCCAGCTGATTAGGCGCTGATGACTATCCGAAAATGGTCAATGTTAATTTGACAAATTCTCTTCACCAAAAATGCTCTCGAGAGTTTGTTTGCTAATTGCGCTGGCTGTAATTTATCTGAACCTGCTGAGCGGCGAGACTATGTACGATGTGTGCGTCGCGCAAGCGAAAATTCAACAAAACAAGACGGCGGTCAAGAATTGCCGGGATAAGCTGAACAGTTATATGAAGTGGAGACAGGAGAATGATGAGTATTATTTGAATGTGAGTTTGGCTATCATCAATTGGAGTTGCCTTGTAAACTTGTGCCGTTTTTCACTGAAATCTAAAGCTCGCTCTTCAATTTTTTATGTATCAGGCTGTTAAAAAATCCAAGGGCCGCTTATCATTTTATTCTTATATATCCGTCTGTCGGGAAAATAATGTGGATTTGTCGCAGAAAAATGTCTCGCCTTGTCGCAGTAATGCATCAAATCTCCAGCCGCGGCTAGCCGCCCCGAAACGATGATGGGCGATTCCAAGGGGCGATAAATCCACATTATTTTCCCGACAGACTGATAGATAAGTAAAAAATTGATAAGTGAGCCTTGGATTTTGATAAAATACGGCATAAATTTACAAGGGAAGCACTAGCCGGTTCGTAAAGTCGCTGGAGTCATTTTTTGGCGATCGCACTGTGCGGGAAAATTCGGCATCTCCTCGAAGTGCAACGCTCAGATTTTCCTTAGATTTTGCACACACTTATTGCCACATATCCCTGAAATTTTTACGGCCGAGGGAGCAGACAAAAAGCGGAGACTGGTCAGAGAAAAAAACGCTTTTTTGGCCGTATCTTCGCCGGTTTTGAGAGGAAAGAGTTGATTTTTTGTGGAAAAATTATCGTCTACGGTAGAAATAGGCATAAAACTTTTCATCGTAAAATTTGCAAAAAAGTGCTACATTTTTACCAACTTTCGATCTAAAAATCTCAATGCTTTTCTGCAAAGCACAGGCTAAAAATCTCGAGTATGTTTTAAAAAATGCAATAAGCATCGCATTCCCTTCATAAAGATTCCTTTTACTCTATAAAAATCGACATTATATGTGTGCTGTAATACTATTGTATCTGTCATTACAGATGTACACCTCGGACGAGAAACATCCCCGTGAACAATTCCCCCCAAACATTAGCGTCCCGAACGTAATCCGCTACCGAATTCGCCTCTGTATTTTGTGGGACAGTGATTGTGAAAGTCGAAAGGAAATTCTCCAAAAGTCCCCACCTTTTAATGAGACTTATGATGGTCAATACAGCCCATACGCTGATGTTGACTTTTAAAAACATATTTTTTGAATAATAAATTTATCAAAAAGAGCGTCAAAAAACAAACTGCAACAAAAAATCAATTGTTTTGCGACTATTTTCAATTTCATCGCCAAAACATGACCTTTTCCAAAAAAAATCGGAAAAAAACTCAATTTTCACTCAAATGCCCTGCGGTCACTGATCCAAAAATACAAAAAAACGCCGAGTAAATCCCCCACAGACCACCTATCTTCATATAACTTTTCTCTGTTCGCGGTAATCCCCCTCATATCCGCATAAATCTCCATTTCGTTTCGAAGAAAAACATGGTCATTTTTTTCTCAATTCTGCAATCCGTTTCGAACCTCCCTTTCGCTCTTCCGTTTCGGGGATTAGCCGAAGGGGAACAGGTTGAAGAATGGTCAAGACGGACAAGAAAAAATCAAACTTGAACGCAAGGGAAAGGCGTTTACGACATCAGGATATTATCCATAAAAATTTAATGTTTCATGGAGAAAATTTAAATATTTTCCAATATAAGACCTTCAAAAACTTCTAAAACATTGTCAATTTACTAATTAGGCAGTATTTTGAAAAAATTTGCCAGAGATACGGTAAATTTCGCGCCAAAGTCAGAGTTGTCCCTAAGTGTCAAGTCTTTCTCCCCAATAAAAATCTTCGGTCGATTTTATTTTTTTCTTGATTCCGACTGAAATTTGCGTGAACTGGTCGGTCGGATGGACCAAAACGATGGCACTGTCAAAGACGAAGACCGTCTAAGACTTCTTGAAGAGAAAATTGGACAACTCAAAGGTTAGTGGACAGAATTTATATTATTTTAGGTAATAATGTTTAATTTTAATTTTTTTGTGATGTATAAGATTATTTTTGATCTTTTACAGACTTCTCATGGCTATAGGCTATTTTTTGACAATTTAACTTCCATTATCCACAAAATTTCAACTGATCTGTAATGTTTTAGCCAAAGTTGAGAGCAGACCGGTAATTGAAGACAGATTCTTCGACAATCCAGTGTTCAGCGACTTCAGAGTGAAAGTCGGCCAGAGAACCTTCCATGTAAGTCAAAACCTATTTCTTTATTCGAATTTTAGGTAACAAAATACCATCTTGCCAGAGCTTCGCCCGTTTTCGAGCGAATGTTTTTGTCGTGTTTCAAAGAAGCGACAGATGGAATCTTGCAGTTGCAGGATGACCCAGAAGCTGTGGAATTTGTCCTCAAATACATGTATATGAAGACTCGAGTCGAGAATTTCGAAATGGCGAGAGAGGTCGTGGTTATTGCGCATCGTTACGAAATGAATGATCTTGTTGTGAGTGTTTCTTTATTTTGGTGATGAAAAATGGGTGTTATGATTCCGAAATTAGATGAATCAGATGCTTTATGATGTTCAGTAAGTAAGCGGACAATCGAGCATTAATTATTAGCGAAATATATTGAGTTATCAACAAAATTTATATTATACATACCTATTTATTGGTTAATACAGTGCGTCCCAGGTTTTTGGTTCCACCCCATTTTTTGATCATATCTCTGGGGGTTTTTTCTCAAATGCCATGAAATTTTACACAAGTGTTAACCAACCTTTGAGAATAAGCTATGCGAAGTTTCATCCCAATTGGCTTCAGTACTCTGACGTTATGGCGATTTTTTAAAAATTTTGGGTGTCCCAGGTTTTTGGTTCCACGTGGAAATTTGCGAGTTTTTTGGTCCGGTTTTGAACCAACCTGCTCTTAATACTATTCATCTTGTACTCTGTAGTATTAGAAAGGGTATTACATTCGTATCTGCCGTACTTTTTCGACGGAGTGGCCCCACGAGCCATCTCCGACCTTGTACATCAGGTAAACATTGGTTTTAAAAAAAAATTCCGATTAGTGATTTATTTCCCGCAAGAAACAACTTAGAGTACTTGTACCAAATGCAAGATGTAAAACAAACCGATACCGATTAGTTTGAAGTCATTTAATCGACCTTTTAAGTCATTTAAGCTACCGTTTACCTTCTACAGTAACCTTCAAAGGCCCTAAAAACACAGAAAATTACTATCTATGGGAACTTTTTGCCCCGAAAATCAAACTCAGCATGTTAATAAACCTATAGCTGTATCTTGTTTCTTGCTTAAATGTTCTATCTGGCGCAGGTGGTTGGTTCAAGGAAAAATGGGTAAAAGCAAGCCTATTTTGGCCTATTTTTTTGTAGAACGAACTTTACAGACCCGATTTATTCTGAAACGGCTAATGATTGTAGCATTACGTTTTCAGGCACGCTGCGTTCAAATTTGCATGTCAAATTTTGTGATTCTCGTCCATTCCTCTTGGTAATTCGGGGTATAAAGTGTTACGGTAGCTACTTGTTGAAGATGATATGCCAAGAAAATACTCGAGATCATTGATCAAGCTACTTTTCTTCGTTAAGTAGATGCACACTGTATAATTTAACAGCATTGGCAAGTTTAATGCCCAAAAAACAGCCTGACTGACATTTTTTTCAGAACCAATCTTTATCTCATGTACAAGGTCGGAGATGGCTCATAGCGCCACTCCGTCGAAAAAGTACGGCAGATACGAATGTAATACCCTTTCTAATACTACAGAGTACAAGATGAATAGTATTAAGAGCAGGTTGGTTCAAAACCGGACCAAAAAACTCGCAAATTTCCACGTGGAACCAAAAACCTGGGACACCCAAAATTTTAAAAAAATCGCCATAACGTCAGAGTACTGAAGCCAATTGGGATGAAACTTCGCATAGCTTATTCTCAAAGGTTGGTTAACACTTGTGTAAAATTTCATGGCATTTGAGAAAAAACCCCCAGAGATATGATCAAAAGATGGGGTGGAACCAAAAACCTGGGACGCACTGTAGCTGTAACTCTAACAGGAGACTTGAGATTGGCCTAAAATTTGTTGCAAATAGTCTTGAAGCTCTATGTTTCAATTTCTAAAACTATGAGCTTGAAATTTACAATATGAATATCATTTATGTTACACTTGATCACCTGATGTCTAATCCAAATTTTCTTTTCAGGATGAATGCGAGCTGGTCCTCTTCGAAAATGTGTGCCTGGAGAATGCTCGAGAAACCTTTTTGTTGGCCAATGACTTCGATTTGAAGCTGCTTTTGGTCAAGTGCGGCGGGATTTTGTACTACGGCTTTGATATTGGCGGCTTGGAGAACTGTCTGCCTGAACAGAATGTTGCAGACCCAGAGCAGTAGATCGCTCACTTTTATCGATTATTTCGGTATAAATTTTTATTATCCTATTTTTTCAGATATTTTTTTTGTTTTGATTCTCTCATGTTTCACATCTAATGTTTGTCTCACGTTTGATTGATTTCTTTACTAATATCTCTAATAGTACATAGTGTAATAAAGTTTACGGCTTTTTTTTACCATTTTGGTATATTGTACTTGGTCGAGATGCCCAAAAAGTCGATATTTATACCTTTTTTTACTGGTTGGCAACTTCTGAAATAACGTCTTACTGCTAGTCAAACATACAGATAATTTTTCGGTTTATTGTAGAAAAAAATCGTATTTACATAAAGCTTTTTTTATCGCCTATCAAATCACCGGATTACTGTAATTTTCAGCTGCAAACAAAGAAATCACTTGACAAACAAACAAAAGACCGAAGTACAACCATGATAAAGTTTGAGAGAGTAAAATTATGAGAGAAAACTTAAAATGCTGCCCTAAAATACCCTTAGTAAATTCGACTAGCTCATGTACAACACCGGAGAGAAGATAAAATTGAACATGAATCTGAACGCATAGTTGATTCGGTTCCAAATTCTTTTGTTCTCTTTCTTGACGCTGGTCACCTTCAGAGCCTTGTTTTTCTTGTTGTTGATCAGCTAAAACAAGGTTGTAAAAATAGGTCAAAATATTTTTTGTACTCCTATTTTACAGTGGCGGACCTGTCCAGTCGCAAAAAATGAACCATTTTGCATCCGGGAAGCATCAAAAAATGTAGCAAAATGCCTCCTTTTCCAACTAAAAAACTCCGTTTTGAAGGGCGTGCCCTTTCCGTCACAAAAATACAGGGTGCGGCAAAAAAATGGAAACTTTTTTCATTGGGTCTTGACGCAAAAATTTTTAAGTGCAGCAAAATTATTTTCATACCATTAAATTCTACGTAGCTTTCTCTCCTAAACCTTATAATTTCATGTCCATATCGGTTTATTAACATTATTTTTTTGAATGACAAACAGAGGGACCTCGATTTCGGACCTGTTTTTTACCTGTGCGAACTGTTAATTTGCCCGGCATAGAAAGCACGTTGTGTCCAAAGTAATCACACAATGCAGGGAGCTTTTTGACAATTTTAAGCGTCCAGTAAGCGAAAGAAAACGCACCGCCAACACTTCTGCCAGCCGCGGAGTCATCAATAGCGAAATCCGTCGATTTCGAGAAAAAATTGCCCGTGAGACCGGTATCAGCGACCGACCAGTCGGCCAAATAGCTAAAAATCAACTCAAAGTCTCCCAACGCAAGCTATGAAATGCCCAACTCCTAATCGGCAAGATCAAGCCCGTACGCCTGAAAAAGTGCCAAAAATTCCGACGTCGGGCCGCAGGTCCGCGATGGGAGCGCATTCCCTTCGCGGTGCAATCTTTGGCGGGTGCACAACCAACAGAACGTCATAGTCCAATCCGATGAGGCGCCCTGCACGTCGGCTAACGACGAACACCGTCAAAACAAAGGCCGTCATCGCCTAAGGGGGAATTTGTGCCAGCGGCAAGAATTCCGATATTTTCGTGGATCAAGCGGGCAAAATTCTAGCACCGCGTTAACTTCGATGTCGTCATGCTTCTGTTGGCTCAGTAGAACCTTGGCAGCGCAAATTTGAGGTTCCAACTAGACTCAGCGCCGACTCACAGGGCAACAACGCGTCAAGACCGATTTTGAGACCGATTTTCCCAATTTCACCCCGTCTGCGAAAAGAGCGCCTGCTCGCCGGGTATGGATCCAATGGGCTATAATTTTTTTTTCAATTGGAGACCAACATCTGTACTACACGCCACAGAAGTTTGGAGTCGCAAAGTAAATGCTGCGCCAAGAACGGAACCGATTTCCCCGAAAAAAGCTGCGGCCAAAAGCCCAAAATTTTAAGTCACGTTTGGAGCTCTATATCGCCTCCAAAAGCAGCCACGGTAAAACGGGTTGAATATGTTATAAACAATGCTCTATCTTATTGAAGATGACCGTTACTTTTGCGGAATTTGGATTGCTAGGAAAAATATAGCTATAAAAATAAGTTTCCATTTTTTTGCCGCACCCTGTAGAGGGCGCGCTTTTAAAATCGGAGTTTTTTTCACTTGGAGAGGGAGGTATTTTGCTGCATTTTTGATACTTCTCGGATGCAAAATGGTATGATTTTTGCCACTGGATCAGGTCCGTAACTGTACCGCCAATCCCACTCTCTCACCTTTTTACAAGTCTCACATTCCAGTTGCAGCAACTTCAGTCGTGGGGGATAGCTGAAGATCGGGTATTGATCGAAATATCCGACAAATCTGACCACATCTCCCTCTTCAATGAGTTGAAGTATATCCTTGAACAAATTTGAAGCCTGTAGAAGAACTTGGCCTTTGTTGCTGCTGATCAGCCGCTCTCCATAGGGGCCGGTGACCTCTATCTCGAAGGTGTAAATGTTATGAATGGTCAGGGAGCATTCATTGGGAGTCATTCCCTGAAAAAATGATAGAACAGGTTAAATTCGGTTCAAAAAATAACTTTTCATCAGAGCAGAGATTTTAAACGGTATTTTTTGAGAGAGTACGCAAAAATAAGAGGGTTGGCTAGACGAAAAAGGTTTTTCGGCGATGTCTTTGCAAATATCACATAGAAAAAATAGATGCTTTGTAGAGTAGTTGTATTTATTCTTTGTTCGGATTTTTTGAACCCAAAATCGCGATTTTGATGGAAACTTTCCGAAAAATGGTCCTTTTTTTGCGATATTGGGTACAGAATGACCATTTTCGGAAACTTTCGACCAAAATCTCGATTTTTGGGTTCAAAAAATCCGAACAAGGAATAAGTACAATTCATCTACAAAAAAATCTATTTTATCCCTGTGATATTTGCAAAGACATCGCCAAAAAACCTTCTTCGTCTAGCCGATTCTCTCATTTTTTCGTACTCTCTCAAAAAAAAATCCCGTTTAAAATCTCCGCTGTGATGAAAAGTTATTTTTTAAACCGAATTTTGTTTGCCTCATACCTGAGGTAAAGCCTGAGTGTCCGCTGAATCCGTGTCATAGAAGCATCTCAGCGTTTGCCCAATCGTATCCGGGAGGAAATCCAACAACGTTTCGAAGGAGTTATCGATCGAAACAATCCGAACCGATTGGATTTGACCCTTCCAATTGACGGCCGTTCCTTTCAGCTGACTACATTGCTCCTGACTTTTGATGATGTTGGCTCCACTGAAGCCGCAGAACTTCTCAAACTGAGGCCAGGTCATGTTGGTGGCTTCTTGATTGGAATCGAAAGCGTTTGTTCCTTCGTACATGAAGGAGATGGCCATCACCAAGGCAACGATGTAAACCGCCAGCAGAGACCAATGTTTTCCGACGGAGCCCACTAAAAAAAGGATAAAACGTCATAATTTACTAATCTATTTTCAAAATTTAAAACTCAAAAAAAAATTCAAAAAATTCTTACTTTTGAACTTGAACCGCTTGGCGAAATTCTGATATATTTTGCGGAAGAAGAAAGGCAGTAGCAGCACTCCAATCGTAATCGAGAGTTTGATGGCTGTGATCTGAAAACCCTAACCAATGTTCGTTATCGAGTCTTATCAGTAAAGTGACGTTTACGTAAATTGGTTGGTAAGCTATATATATGAAGCGTTCTGACGACATTTTCAGGGCTTATCATTACATAAAAACACTAAAATTTCATCTTGAACAAGATGAACTTTTCAAATCCAGATTGCACTGTGCAAAGATTTTTTTGAAACTGCACGGTGCGGTCAACATTTTTCTATTTGTGATGGTAAAAACAGAATGCCAAGGGTTTCTTGGCATTCAAAAAAAATCCGGCTAGGACATTTTTCAAACAATAAAAATTTCCAAAATAAATAAATCAGACAAGAAATTTTTCCCGCCGGGCTTTCCAGGCCCGGATGCGGGTTTGTAAATCGTTAGCCGGGCCCGGATTACAGCCTCCTTACATACTGGGCGAACAATTTTTCTTTGTTCATAATCGCACCGTGCAAAAAAAAAAAATTTTCAATTTGCACAGTGCACTCATTTTTTTGGCTGCACAGTGCAAAAAAATAATAAGATTTCGCACTGTGCAACTTTTGAAAAACAGCACTGCGCAATTTTCCAACCTCCTTACCAACTCAATAGCACTTTTCAATTGACTAATGCCAATGCCAGCAGCCAACACGACTCCAACGAACGACGGGAACACCACCAGCGAGACCAAGGCGCCGGTCAGAACAAGTCCCGGTAGATTGAAATACCTGTAGCCAATCAGCCACATGGTCATTGCGATGTCCATCCAGGCGATGCAAACAATCTGAGGGACCACAATGCGGAAGAAGTCCGCGGATTGATGGCGTTTCTTGGCCATAATTATGTAGATTATGGGGACTGCCAGCAGTGAAATGGCGGGGAGGGAAAATGATACGCGGAGCATACCTGAGAAATTAATTTTAGAGGTCAGAAAAGTTGTCAGTGAGATATTAGGTCGTCCAGAAAGTTCGTTCTTTTTTTCATTGCTTTGTTTTACAAGGATTGTTTGTTCTTTGGCAAATGGAATATATTTATTTGGTACAGCTTTTTCTCCTCTACAAAACTGGCTGTATCAAATAAATATATACGCTTTGTCAAACAACAAAAAATCCTCGTAAACGAAAGCAATGAAAAAAACGAACGAACTTTCTGGACGACCTAATAGATAGACGAATCCTTACCAAGTTTGAGTTCGAAAAGTGGCTTCCAAAGGCGCCAGAAGCCAATTGAGATCTTCATCTTGGACAAGATGATCGGAACACTGAAAATATCAGCTTTTTTCACTCCTTGGTGATTCCTGGAGGTCTAATAGGAACAGCAAGGACGTTTTCATAATGTGACCCTCAGATTTTCTTCAAATTTCGCAAATATAATTTACCTTGTCCACATATCAATGACTGAAAATTTTAGCTCGCGTTTTGCAGAGACAGCCGGGATATTCAACAATCTTTGAAGGCGAGAGAGCACAAAAACTGTAGTCTCTCGGCTACAAAGATCGTTGAATATCTCGGCTGCTTCTGCAAAGCGCGAGCTAAAATTTTCAGGCATTGATATGTGAACAAAGTAAATTAGCTTTGCAAAATTTGAAAAAAAACCTGAGAGTCGCAACTCAAGCATTTCACTTATCTCTTCAAACCAATGCAATGGATAACAAAAAGCCACTTTTTGACTCGACAAAATTTACAACCCCCTAAAACCACTTACCATGACAAAAAGTTGGCCAAAATCGCCAATAACGCATATTTATCGCTGTCATCGGCCAACGCCACAAAGCACAGTGCGCCCAAGAACAGGGAAATTCCACAAAACAAGATGGAATTTGGCAAAACCTTTTCCGCAGCGCCGACGGAGAAGAGGAAAAAGAACAAAGAGATGAAAAAGTAGATGTACGGATCCCAATTGACCAGTTGAAAGTAGGTATCCGAGGTTCGATCGGCTTCTTTCTTATCAAACAAGCGAAAAACTCGGCTCCACACGAGCTTTTCCTTGACAATTGTTTTGTCATGGAACATTTTGAGGGTAAAGTAGAACATAAAAAAGAAAGAGATGTATGCCGCGATTATGGGTAGGGTGTTGACAATTGTTCCAACACTAAAATATTGGTGTTTTTAGAGGTTTAGAGGATAAGTACAGTGACGGACCTGATCCAGTGGCAAAAAACGTACCATTTTGCATCCGGGAGTATCAAAAAATGTAGCAAAATACCTCCCTCTACAAGTGAAAAATTCCGGTTTCAAAAGCGCGCCCGCTCTTTTTGTAGAAACGGAGTTTTTTCACTTGAAGAGGGAGGTATTTTGCTACATTTTTTGATACTTCCCGGATACAAAATGGCACATTTCTTGCCACTGGATCAGGTCCGCCACTGTAAGCAATATTGTCAAAAAATTTTGGTTTGCAAACTGTAATTTTTTTATGTTTTTCTTGCAAGGGAACTTTTACCTTATAAACTGCACCAAACAGATCAACACCAAAGTTTGAAGTTGATGCAGCGGGAACACCGCGTAGATTAGAGTCCTCCATTGTTGATGCAACTTGTCCAGCAAGTACTCGACAAGACTGTCTAGGGAATTCACCTTTTTATGCTGCTTTATCCGCTCTTCGAGGACTTTTGGCATAACATTTTCCACAAATTCCTGCTCTTCCGGGTCCTAAAATACGAATCTCAATTATTCTGCGATTCGAATGCATAAATTTTTAGTGTTCTGACCTTTTGTTTGTTATTTTTCCCCATTTTCTTGTAATGATAAGCACTTATTTTTAATACAGTCTTTGAAAAACAGAAAAGTCGGATGTTTCTTTGGTTTTTCAGGAAAATTTCTTTGCAAAAATTAGCGCTTATCATCATAAAATTATCAAGTTTACAGTGAGGCGGCTATCAACTTCTGTTTACCCTTGAAAAAATAATTAAAGTCAATAAAAATTTTTGAGCAAAATACACAAAAAGGCACAAAACTTCGTCGCTGGCTTCAGTCTGCAAAAGGGTGAAAAACAAGATCAAACTGGGCACCAGAGATTGCCACGGTCAAAATGTCGGCTCCGGCTCCGGCTCTTAGCTCCCAGAGCCGGAGCCGAGGCCAAATTTGCAGCTCCGGCTCTTGGCTCCGTGCAAAATTTAAAAAGGCCTCCGGCTCCGAATCCCGGCTCCCATGCAAAATGTTTTTTTAAAAATATTTTTCCAAAAATAAAAGTTATTAGTGCCAGAGATCATACAGCCAACGTTTCTGCAGTCAAGTCACATTCTCCGCAGTGTTCTTCAAGCAATTTGGTTTAACAAGATCACGAAATTTTTACTTTTCTGACCGCTGCACTGCGGGTCGGGTCAAGTTTTTTTCATGTGGTGGTCAAGTCTTTCCCCTAATATTATTTTTTCCCCGAAATTCAGACTGTTATATCGGAGGTTAATCAAGGTAAATGTGGTCAGTTCTTGTTGATTATTTCAAGAACAAGTCTTATTCTATTTTTAGAAATCAAATTTGATTGAATTACGGTGTGGGTTTGCCTCAATTTTTAGCATTCTTTGGGGGTATGTATTCTATACCTAAATGATCAATTGTGAGACAGTTTCAAGTCTGATTTACGATATCGTTTCCATTTCACCTTCGGACGTACGCCACCTGTCCAATAAAGGTAAGTAACTGTGAATCTGGTAGTCCGTTTTTTAGTAATTAAAGATTTTGTATATTATTCTAGGTTATTCAGAAAATTTTGTACGGGATTTGCCTGGTTTTCCCTCAAAATCACGTCCAACATATTAATTTTACTGTCCTAACCACGTTTTCCATCACCAGAGGTCTTCACAGATGTGATCCAGATGTTATACGTTACAGGGATCATGTATAACATCCGCCTGAAAAAAACGCTAGATTGGTCTCAAACACATTTTTGCTTCGCTTGATGATCCTCGAAAGTATTTTCTTTGATTTTTATGAAAATTCCGCATAGTTTGGGCGTTGAATTTCATCTCTACCTAAAATCTGCATCAACTTTGGACACAAAGAAAAAGTCTAAAAGAGAAGGAGAAACCTGTCCACTTACGTTTTTATAGGCACTAGAGACCAATATTACGCTAAATAATCTAATCCAGGCCGAAAACTTGGCAAATCTCAACAAAAATCTTCAAAAGTACCTAGTATAATATACAAAATCTTTAATTTCTAGAAAACGGACTACCAGATTCACAGTTACTTACCTTTATTGGACAGGTGGCGTACGTCCGAAGGTGAAATGGAAACGATATCGTAAATCAGACTTGAAACTGTCTCACAATTGATCATTTAGGTATAGAATACATACCCCCAAAGAATGCTAAAAATTGAGGCAAACCCACACCGTAATTCAATCAAATTTGATTTCTAAAAATAGAATAAGACTTGTTCTTGAAATAATCAACAAGAACTGACCAGATTTACCTTGATTAACCTCCCATATAACAGTCTGAATTTCGGGGAAAAAATAATATTAGGGGAAAGACTTGACCACCCCATGAAAAAAACTTGACCCGACCCGCAGTGCGCTGGGAAGCCTGGCTCCGACTTTGGGCTCGGGAGCCGGAGCCGACCCCAAAATTTCCGGCTCCGGCTCTGGCTCCCGGCTCGGAGCCAGAGCCGCTCAGAGCCGGAGCCAAGAGCCGGCTCCGGAGCCGTGGCAATCTCTGCTGGGCACCAATTTGACACAAGTCCGACCGAAAAGAAAAAGAGTTTGAAGGGGGAGCAACTTCACGGTTACCCCAGGATCCTTTTCGGGTCAAAAAAACGACCTCAAAAAGGATCCCAATAACCTCTTCAAAGTCAACATTCTTTTGCCTCTATGTGAAATCTTTTTCCTTCAAGTGCGGAACCATTTTGATCCTTTTTCAACCTTCCCGTCGACTGGGATAGGGCATAAATACGGATTGTCGAGTATTGCTTGTTACATCCAAGGGTTTGACTTCGAAGTTGCGAATGACAGTCCCAGACATGATCATGTGTCAAAAAACGCATCCAATTACATAATGGATGCAATAAATTGTATCCCTTCGCATCCCCTCTTTGCCCGAAAATAGTGTCCTCCTTTGAAGAGAGCCAAGACCGATGCCCTTTTAGGAAGGAGGGGATACATTTTTGGTTTCCCTTTTTACTTCCAAAATGGCAACTGATTGGCGTCTCATCAAAGGGAAACACTATTTTCGGGCAGAGACGGGATGCAAAGGGATACAATTTATTGCATCCATTATGCAATTGAATGCGTTTTTTGACACATGATCATGTCTGGAACTGTCTGTCGAACTCCGAAAGCAAAACCTTGGATGTAAGAAGCAATAACTGGACAATCCGTATTTATGCCCGATTACAGTCGGCGGAAACGTTAAAAAAAAATCAAAAAGCTTCTGAACTTCAAGGAAAAAGGCTTCACATAGAGGCAAAAGGAATGTTGATTTTGAAGAGGTAATTGGGATCCCTTTTGAGGTCGTTTTTTTGACTCGCAAGGGATCCTTGGGTATCTCCGAAACCAAAACCTTGTGTGTAACAGGCAATAACACGACAACCCGTATCTTTAAGAATACATCATATCAGTCTGTCGGGAAAAATAATGTGGATTTGTCGCAGCAATGTGTCTCACCTCGTCGCAGCCGCGCACCAAATCTCCAGCCGGATCGAAATTAAGGGCCATTTGAAGGCACGACAAACCCACATTATTTCCCCGACAGACTGATATTACTTTATCATCACCACCAACCCACCTCATTATCATTTTCAATTTCATTCAACGTTTCCTCTAGATCAGCGTTGGCCAAAAGTCGCTCCAGAATCTCGGTCTGGCTCATTTTTTCGTCGCCAAATTCGTTGATCAACTTTTTCAGCCGGTCCTCCGACTTTAGACCATCCGGATGCTGATGAAACGCGCGGTAGATTCGCTTGGCCGCATCCTTCGAATACCAATCTGGATTCAGGGCGGATAAAGTGTCCGAAATCAAAAATTTCTGACGAATCGAGATTGATGGGGTGAAAAGGAGAGGTATGGAGGAGAATACCATGATTTCGAAGCGTATTTTAGACAAATATAGCGGTAGATTTCGATTTTTTTAATAAAAAAATTGAAATTCAAGTAAAATATTTACAAATCAGTAGCTTCAAGTGTATTAGAATCAAATTTCAGGCTTAGCGCTTGCCCAAAAAAATTGTAGAACTTTGATTTTAGCCCGCTTTTCTCATAGAACAGCGAAGAAAATTAGATTTCTCCCTGATGTTCTTATGATGCCCCCATGCTGATAAGAAATTGATATTTTGCAGGGAAAACAAATAAACTCAGCTCCCGCCCATGGTTCGAAATCATAAGCTACAGTCATAAACCTGCATAAGAAATGAAAAATTTTAATTTTTTTGATGCCGTTATAGTATTATAAATTAAAAATTTTTGCTCAATACAAGATCTCACCGAAAAAAATTAATAAAAAGCACAAAGACCACCCCAAATATTGTCGGAAAAGGAAAATATCGCCGGATTATTCATAGCTAAAGCACTCATTGAGGCTTAATTTCATCAAGGTGGGAGTCTTGAAACAAAGAAAAGAACAAAGGTCAAGCAAACAGTGAAAACATCAGTTTGTCGGGAAAATAATGTGGATTTGTCGCAGAAAAATGTCTCGTCGAAGCCAAGCACTAAATCTCCAGCCTCGGCTAGCCGTCGCAAAGCGATGATGGGCGATTCCAAGGCGCAACAAATCCACATTATTTTCCCGACAGACTGTTATTTTCACTGTTTTCTTGACTTTTGTTCTTTTCTTTGTTTCAAGACTCCCACCTTCATGGAATTAAGCGAAAAAATATTATTAGCTAAAACTCTTTATCCAAGACAACCCAAAATCATGATCTTTAATGAAATTTCAGTTTGTCGGGAAAGCAATGTGGATTTGTCGCAGCAGAATGTCCAAGGCACGACGAATCCACATTATTTTCCCGACAGACTGAAATTTCATCAAAAATCATGATTTTGGGTTGTTTTGGATAAAGAATAATAGCTAATAAATCAATTTCGTCTAGCACTTTTAACATCTTTTTTAGTGCACGTATCCTGCTAAATACAGTCATATCTCGGTTATTCTTGTAAAGTTCACCCTCAAACTTTCAGAATTTAAAATAGAGTTCATGTAGGGACGCTATGAAAAATTTAAACACAATCCGACGTCATTCACCAAATTTCCGACCTTATTTTAGGTAGTCCCTTGCACAAGATCGAAAATCCCTCTGGCCCCGCGAAGATCGGAAATCCCCGACGTTCGAGTTTATAAACCGCAAAGCCAGAGGATTTCACGGGATTTGACACAAAGAACGGAAGAGTTCCCACTCGTTCCATCCGTTTATTTGCACATTTCGCAGGCCAGGATTGAGTAATCAACAAGTTAGAGAGCCCTTGACCAACAAAACTTTGAGCCAATTGACCCGGCAGATCATAAAGGTCTAGCCGAAAGCACATACGCCGTTTTTTGTCGCATTACGACTTTTGATCGGGGGGATTTTTGAGACGTTCTTTTGGGGGAATGTTATACTTGGCGGATGGATTTTTAAAAGTTCGAAAATTTTTATTTTTGAGGAGCTGAAAAGAGGGAGGGTTGTATAGAATGAGTTGAAAACTTAAGAAAGGCTCTAAAAATTAGGAAGATCACCAAAATTTAGGTATTAGAACAAGCTTTCATTTAGATGTCTAAATTAATATAAAAAATATTTTGTAGTGTAACATAATCTACACGATTTAATAGTCATCCATTTTGACCTTCGAGGACTCTCGCTGATCAAATTGCCCATTTCGAATTAAAATTAGGTAACAAAAAATCGCCGCACGGTGCAATTCAATATGCACTTTTTTCAGCAAAATTTTTCGAACTGTCTGAGTTAATACTTCAAAATGGAAGTTCTCAACGCTCTTATCTATCAAACAGCCATCAGATATTTGAATAAAAAACGGCTTGAACGACCAAAAATTGAAATTTTTATACATATTGCATTATAAACCAGTGTTTTAGTAAATTTCCCACAAAATTCTCAAATTTTCCAGCTCCTCAGACTATATAATAATCCAACAGACATGTCAAGACCATCAATATTCAAAATGAACCTCAAAATCGAACTTACCAGCCGATGCGACCGCGCTGTTGGCCAATCTTCTTGATGGGCCTTCATCGCCGGATGAATCCCGCCGCCCGAAACGGAATCGTGACATCTTTACGGCCGGAATCGATTGTTATCACTTTGTCCGAACGTTTTCGGAACAGGTGGGCGTTTTGCAAAAAACGAATAAACGAAATAAACAGAATGCCAAGAAATTTTGGCATTGCAATTTTTCGTGGTGAAGCCCGAATATTTTGCGTAAAAACTTGTCAAATTGAAAATAAAGTCGTACAACCTTTCATTCGGTGGCTTTACACCCATTACATTTCAATCTGTTATCTTTTAGAACCCTTCGTCCATCTTCCTTATACTATCCATGACCCAATCCCCAAAAAATCAAATTTTTACCCAACAAAATTGTCAAATGTAAGTCCTTCTATCAATATTCATTAATTTACAGTGTCATAGTCGTAAACAAAATAAAAAGACATTCATAAACATTTTCATTCCGAGTGTTTTTACAATAATTTCGACGTTTTACTGCGGCTGTTCCGCTGAGGGCTGTTCGGCGGAAGAGGGCTGGCGAGTGGGTTCGATGTGCGAGGGGATGAGGATCCGGTTCAGTTCGGGTTGGATCTGCAGTTCCTGCGGCGTGAATTCAAACAGTGGAGGCAGTTCTCGGCCGTTCGGGAGGCGGGTCCCGGGCTGGCGGAGTTCGTCGAAGAAGTTGTGAGCGCATGCTTGCAGAGGAGTGAGCCGGCCTTCCGGATTGTAGTCCAGCAGTTTGGAGACGAGGTCCACAACCTCCGACGGGGCTCCCGGTCGGAGGATGCGGCTCCATGGGTGGGCGCGAATTGCGGGGAATCGGAATTCACGGTAATGGGGGTTCATTTGCTGGATCTGCTCTCGGGTGGGGGTGCCTAATACCTGAAAAGAGTCGAAGTGATATTTAGAATCAATGACTGGACTCTTCAACATTCCAAATCTTATTTCAAGACCTTTTTGTAATTTTAGGTAACAAAAATTCGAAAAATCTGACAATTCTGGACAAAGTCTCCTCCACCACCTCATAATACCTCCCTGATCTTCTACCTAAAATCGAAAACAACAAAAGCAATAAAAAACATACTTTAATAATCTCAACGAGTTGATCCACACCCGAATCGCCCGGGAACACCGGTCGAGATATGATGAGTTCGGCCAAAACAGTGCCCGCCGACCACACGTCGATGCTGTTAGTGTAATGCGTGGAGCCGAAGATGAGTTCGGGTGCTCGGTAGTACCTTGAGCAAATATATGAGACATTGGCTTCGCCGCGGATCAGATACTTCGCCGATCCGAAATCACAAAGTTTGAGGACCGCCGACTCGGGATCGATCAGCAGGTTCTGGGGTTTAATGTCACGATGACAGACGCCGATCGAATGGATGTAGGCAAGGGCGCGGAATAACTGAAATTTTTCGGTTTGAAAATCGATGTTAACCATGATGGATAATTTAGTAAAAACATCTCCAAAATCACTAAATCGCTTTACAAAAAATTACTCCAAGCCTCAATAAAAAATTTCGAGCCAAAATCAACCACTAAACTTCCAACAATCTCCGTAAAAACCATTTTATCCACTTTTAATACCTAAAATTACATCCACCATGTCAAAATTCTCACCTGATACGAGTAAACTCTGACTAGAGTCATTGGAATGTGTTGCATTTGTCGAGTGTAATGCCGGGTGAGGCGGTAGATCGTCTGCGGCATGTATTCGAGGACCAGATTTAGGTAGACCTTGTTCTGATCGCGATCCTGATTATGATAGAAAAAGTAGTCGAGTTTGACGACATTCTGATGATCCAGTCGGCGCATGATTTGAAGCTCGCGATTCTTGTAGCGATTGTCCTGCAGGACCTTCTTTATGGCCAACTTCTCACCGGATTCCGTTCTCGCTACGTAGACCTAAAACAAGGTAAATTAAGGTCAAAACTCCAAAACCGAATCAAAATTTCTATCAAGAATCGGCCTACAAACCTTAACTCAAAAGAAAACATCAATTAATTCAACAAACTGACAAAAAATTTTTTTTTTTTTTTTAATTTCTTCAAAGCTGCCTAAATCAATATATAAACCTCTTCCTTACCCATCCAAAAGACCCATTTCCATGTATTTTAATGTCGAATAATCGCAATTGAATCCTCCGTTCGGGCCGTGTATTCGTGGCGACGGCGAAGGCGGCTTCGGCACGGACTGATCCATATTGCGGGAAGAGGGAAGGACCCGTCTCGACGGGGATTGGTATTGCGGGTGGGGGGTCGGCCTGGTTGGCCGACGAGGAGGTGGCCGTCGTTGAGGAAGTGCCGGCGGTCACCGTTCCGTTCTGACCCTGGAATTGAGGTGAAATTAAATTCACTTAATTAGGTAATGGGTTCAAAAATCTCCCCTTACACTCTCATAGTCAAAAATAGACCACAAAGCTTTCCTGGTCTATGGAAAGAGGTTGTGGACAAAGAAAGGGCAAGAGGAGGCTTAAAATTCAAGGATGGACAAGTTGAGCCGACAATTCCCAGACATTCTCACCGTCTCCGGACCTGTTCTAGACGACAAAAAAAACGAAAAAGAGATCAGAAGGTTGCAGGGATGCTATCAAAAAGTATCAGAAAGACAGACAAAGAATGTTGGTCAAGAAAAGAAAAATTCAGGTTTTAATCGCGGATAAACTCCTTCGCTCTTAATAACCAACAATCTCCTGTCTCTATGATACTTTTCGATACAAAATCGACTCCTTCTGATCACTTTTTCGGTATTTTTGTCGGCTAGAACAAGTCCAGGGACGGTAAAAACCTCTAGTGAATTTTCGGCTCGACTACAGTGGGGGAACTGATCCAGTGGCAAACAACGTACCACGTCGCATCCGGGAAGTATCAAAAATCTGGCAAAATGCTTCCCTCTCCAAGTGAAAACTTCGTTTTGAAAGGCGCCCTCTTCCTCACAAAAAGAGCGGGCGCGCTTTTGAAATCTGAGTTTTTCACTTGGAGAGGGAGGTATTTTGCCACATTTTTCGATACTTCCTGGTTGCAAAATGGTACGTTTTTTGCCACTGGATCAGGTCCGTCACTGTAGTTCATCCTTATTTTTTTTCTCCCTTTGCCTTACTTTATCCACAACCTCTTTCCAGAGACCAAATATTACTCAAAGCAGGTCTTTAATTCCCTCCAAATAGCGCGGTAACAAATACCTATTCCGGATTTCCTTATCCTTAACTTTCTCCCACAAAAAAAACTTTGTTCCCCTCTTACCTCTGTGCCCGCCGACTCCGTGGAGACGTCATTGCTGGGAGGGGGTGCCTGCGACGGTCCCTCACCGTCCGGTGGGTTGGAGCCGGGCATCGGCCGGCTGTTTCCGCTCGCTCAGTGCGTTTTCGCAGCGCTGCTGTTGAGAACAACAACAACCAAAAAAGTAGAGGTGTGGGGCCGTTGAGAAGATTCTTGCGGGTTTCGGCCGTACGATTCAAAACGCGACGGGCCGCTCAGGCTAGAATGAAAACTTAAAATAAAACCCTGTTTTTCGAAAGCGCTGAACTCAAAAAAGTGTAAAACACCGTCGAAAAAAACAATAATGAAACTGTAAAACATTAAAGATCATAAGCCAACTCCCCGAAAAAAACCACTGACATGTTACGGCTCTCACTTTTGCCTGTATATACGTCAGAGAACCTCGCGAAACTCCAGATTAATTCAAAAAGTCGGTGTAAAAGTTAAAAAAATCCAGAGGTAGGGCCGGAGAGTCGGCGCCGTAAGAGGATTATCACCGTTTATGGCTAGAAAAAACCCGCTAAAGGCCGTGCCAAAAAAAATCCGTGGAAGAGATGAGGCTCAAAAAGTAGCATTAGACGCGCAGAATGAGCGGAAATGGGCGCCGAGGGGACGGATAACTTATATCTTTGCTGTAAACAGCACGCATATGGAGTTTATATCACTGATAACCACCTCAACAACTGAAAAAATCAAAAAACAGCTGATTTTTTTTCCGAAACACTGGCAAGACACTATTTTTTGCCCTTATTTTACATAAACTTTTTACATGCATAATAATGGAGGTAAGTGCATCTGTTTCGGACAGATTTAGTCGGGTTTAGCGGTGTAATCTGGTATTGTAGGGCTGGCACAGCAATTTTCCGATATTCGATGAGGATTCATCAGTCTGTCGGGAAAATAATGAGCACTCTGTCGCATAGAAAATCGCATCTCCGAAGTGAAAAGCCAATTGACTTTGCCGCGACATGATTCACCTTCTCGGCTGCGATGCGATTTTCTCTGCGACAGAGTGCTCATTATTTTCCCGACAGACCGATACATCCCCATCCAATATCGGGAAATTGCAATCCCAGCCCTACAATACCAGATTATACCGCTAAACCCGACTAAATCTGTCCGAAACAGATGCCCCCCATGATATCAGCGAAAGACAAGAGGACAAGACCTTTCGATGGCCAGAACTCCCTCAAATTGATGCACTAACAAAAGGAATCCTTTTCTGGGCCTGCGGGCTAAAAATAATACCAGCGAACTCTTAATTCCACCAGTAAATGGCATGCAACTACAGCTGGGACTATCTAATTACTCGCGTAAAAAATGTTTCACCAGCAGGAAAGCAAAATTACAAGTAATTGGGTGGCCGTATACAGAGAGTGGCTATAATTCGAAACTTCAATGTTTACAAATCAAACTTCCTCTCTTTATCGTCCACATGTTTCGCTTCGGTTATCAGAAACCTTGTTGAAGCGAGGGAAAAACTCAAAGTCTAAAATTTTCGTGTTTCTACCGAGGAGGCAATTTAGCCATTAGTCAGCGTGGAAATAAATGGCTCTTGATTGAGCAAAGACTGCAGCTGTAAATCAAGAATGGAATTTTTATGGATAAAATGACCATTTTTTGCTTCACAAAAAAAAGCTCTCACAGCCATCAAAAGTCTGGAAATGCCGCAGCTCCCCCAAAAAAAATCAAACCCCGTCGAAACGCAAAAACAAGAACATTAGAAGCCGCCCCAAGAATAAATATGGCCTGAATTGGGGCCCAAAAAAAGCCCTGCGGCTGCAAGCAGAGGAGAAGGCGAACGATGAGGAGGAGGAAAGAGAGCGGAGAGTTTGGCTGGGTCCAAAAAGGCAGACTCAACATTTTGTGGAAGCCAAAAACGACCCAAAGCATTTGTACATTATACTCTCAATCTGCGAACACCAATCTTTGGATGGAACGGCGTTCTCAGCAAAAATAACATCAGAATTAAATAAAAAAAGCGTCTTTTCCTTTTCGGGCTTCATCTTCGTCACTTAAAAACAGGGGAATCACGTAAGAAAACGCGGCGGGGACCGCACTTTTGTTTATCAAAAACCATCACAAGGTAATTTGTTTCCCGAATTTACACTGGACTTACATCAACATAACCATGACGTATTTCCCTCAATATACGACTACATCGGATGAAGCAGAGTCCGAAAAACGCTTGCGAAGAAACAACTGGCAATAAACGAAGTCCAACAATCTTCGAACGCCGGAAATAAAATAAAACAAAGGATAAACATGAAAGATTAAAACGGCTTCTTTATTATCCTTGACAAGGAGTTCCAAGAGGGCAGAATTCGCCGAACTTTTTTATACCCAAGTTAGAAAACAGGCTTCAAAAACATGTGGGCCCGTACTTACAAGTATTTCCGAGATAAAGATTAATTTTGATAGAAAGAGGACATCAAAAAAGTGCTTTGAAGTCGCAATTTTCTTATGAAATCGAGATTTCCGAACTTTTCCCACAAAAATTCATTCTTCGTTCCGCAAAAAATACCCGGATTAAGCTTAACCAACTCCAAGAAACAATTAGAAACATTGTTTCTTGGGGTTGGTTAAGCTTAAAGCCTTCAAATATCACCGCCAGACGTATTCGGCTACCCCTACAAGGACGAAACCAACAAGTTGTAAATTAACATCCAACTTTCCGGAAAATCTCACTTTTTCCTCTCGGCCAGAAGACCAGAGCGCCGAAAAAAATGTAGTGGTGTTGGAGGGGAAAAAAGCCAGAAGCCCTGAGGCGTGAGCACGCCGAGGACGGAAGGAACAGGACAAGAGGAGGGAAAACACAGCGCGGCCGAACCCGGCTTTCGATACCTTCATTTGGAGGCCGCGAGATGGGGGAGAAAAGTCCGTGCATCGTCGGCCGCCCGCCGTCCACCGAAACGACGACACGAAACACAAGAGTTTGGCCGTAAAACCAGCGGCGGCATCTTCGTCTCATTCCATTTACATCTTACACTAGGGCGGATAAAAGTACTAGATGAGGCCAACGCCCTTGAGCCCCACTTTGGCGGATATCATGGAGGGGGGCCCGGAGAATATTTGATGACGGCGGGCGGCGGTCGACGACGTTCGGAAGCCATAAATGTCATTTTTTACGGATTTAGGGTAGGGATTCCCGGTAGGTGGGAGTTTTGGGATAGAAATAGAAGATCCCAAGAGCAATCGACGAAAACTATGACAAGGAGAGAGCAATATGGCAAGAGGGTACCAAAAACAACGTTTTTTTAAATCGAGGAAAGCAGAATATAAACTCCAGAAGTAACACAAGAAATCTCCGTATAAACGTTAGAACCGACCAAAAATCCATGAAAACGACGATATCAAAGCAACAGACCACCTCCACCAACCCTGAATAGCGCTCTAATCCACCAAGTATGAAACAAAGATGGCTCCCGTAAGGTTAAAAATAGTTCGGAAAGCCGATTAAAACCTCGTTTCAAAGTTATTTTGAGCCTTGTTTACTATCAATACAAGTAAAAGACAACTCGAGTTTGTGTGCATCAAGAATCATTCACAGTTTCATCGGCAAATGTCGACCAAAAATAATTAAAACCAAGCCTTCGAACAGTCTCAAACAGAAGTTCGTTTTTGCCAGGGTGCAAAGAGACAAAACCAACACAAAAAGAACAAAAAATTCCCTTTTTGGAAACTGCCTCCCGTCCATTGACCCGCCAACCACGTGAGAAAACACAAAAATTCTTCAAAAATTTGATCGCAACTATCAAAACAAAACATTACTTGAAAGAAAATAGAAAAGACCTTTTTTTCCAGTGTAAACCGGAGCTAAACGGGGAAATATTTCAATATCAAACTTATAGTTAAAGGCTAAATCCGTGGTACCGTCAAAAAAATCCAAGAATTTGATATTAACTTAGACTAAAGCAATATGAACCAAATTGATCAAAAGTTTTCAAAAAACCACGTTTCTCGCGGAAAAAAAAAACAAAAAGAATGGGAAAACAAGTGTCCAGCTGATCACAGGATTGACCCTCGCCAACTGCCGACTTCCCGACGGCCAACCCCGGCTTGAATATTAAACTACCCCGAAAAATAGTTCAATAGTTCTTAGATCGATCTAAAAATTGAAAGCAAACAATCAAAAACTCCTGACCTTTACCAAGACATCTTTTTTTCCTCGGCAACAGTTCCGACGCGTACGCGCGCGTGAAAAAAAGCGAGAAAATGGCGAAAATTATTTTTCTTTGCGTTCCGTTCGCGTTTCAAATTTTTCGTGGTGGGACGTAGGGAATTGTTCCGTGCTTATGGAAAAATAACAAACAACTTTTGTAAACAACAGGAAATGATAAAGAAACTAGTCGATCAGCCGTTAGTTACCCATATCAACGTCCGCGAGTTTGGTTACAAGAAGATGCCGAGCAAATTGAAATTTCTGGGGTAAGTGTAATGTGATTAATTTTTTATTTCGAATTTAGACAACAAGAGGCGATCAACATTGACCAAGAGCTGTTTAATGACTATGGCTTCAGTGTAGATCAGCTAATGGAGTTGGCTGGGTTGAGCTGTGCACAGGCGGTTCATCAGACTTACGAGAAAGGTATGTGTTCATGGAGAATGTTATTTATTGGTGTTTAGGCCCCATTCTGGTACTAGCTGGTCCTGGCAATAATGGTGGAGATGGCCTGGTCTGTGCTCGACATTTGAGTCTGTTTGTGAGTTTTATTTTTGGATTTTTTGGATTTAGGTAACAAAGAAAATTTTGGTATAAAATAAGTCTAAACATATACGAAAGCTTGCGGGACCCCAGTGCAGTCATGACTTTTTCAATTTCACAGCCGAAATGCGTAGTGCGGAACGCGTGCGACAAAAAACTCTCTTTTGAAAAGGCGTAGTAGTAGAAGTACGCTTCTTCTGGCGAAGCTAGCGTTGTTGAATTTCCGTCGGAATTCGGCATTTGCAGTGGCGGACCTGATCCAATGGCGAAAAACGTACTATTTTGCGTCCGGGAAGTATCAAAAAGTGTGGCAAAATGCCTCCCTCTGCAAGTGAAAACACTCCGGTTTGAAGGGCTTGCATTTTCCCTCACAAAAAGAGCGGGTGCGCTTTTGAAATCGGAGTTTTTTTTCAATTGGAAAGGGAGGTATTTTGCTACATTCTTTGTTACTTCCCGGATGCAAAGTGGTACGTTTTTTGCCACTTTTCAGGTCCGTCACTGTATATGTATTAAACTTCTGACTAATATTTGCGTGTCCCATAAGTCAGTGAAATGTGTTTCAAAACATTTTCGAGAGTGCATTTCATCTATTTATTATTGTATTTTCTGTTTTTAGGGCTTTCAACCAACAATTTTGTACCCAAAACCTTCAAAGTCGCAGCTGATGCAGAACCTGGTCAAACAAACAACTCTGATGGACATCCCATACATCGACCATGTTCCAGAAGAAGTCGATTCGGTCTATAAAGTGATAGTCGACGCGTTTTTCGGCTTCTCCTTCAGGCCTCCGCTTCGTGAGCCTTTCAATCAGATTTTGGACAAAATTTCAAAATGTCGAACCCCAATATTTTCAATTGATATCCCGTCTGGCTGGAATGTCGAGACTGGACCTCCGGAAGATGGCACGCCAAAAATTTTGCCACATTCGTTGATCTCCTTAACAGCTCCAAAGAAATGCGCCGAACATTTTAGTGGGATCCACTTTTTGGGCGGACGATTTGTACCACGAGCGTTGGAAGATAAATATGAACTTAATTTGCCTGAATATCCGGGTTCTCAGGGATTTCTGAGGCTGTGAGGTAAGGTATTTTGAGGTTATACTGTGTAAATAATATTGAATTGTGTAGTTCTGTGAAGTTTTGTATATTACTCATGGATTGTAGATTATTAAAATATTCACCGGTGAATTTTTTGTGGTATTGTGGAAGAATAAAATTAAGAAAACTCAATTTTTTTACAATTCCGATCATGGTTAACACAAAAAAATATAATTTTTTTGTCTGCCGTATCCAAAATCAAAAAGATTTTCGATATCTCAGTTTTGATCCTTCAATTTTAACGACACCTGCCTCCAATTTACAGCAAAGTTTTGTAAGGAAAAATCCAAAAATTTGAGTTCGCCATTTACTGAAATTATCCTTAATTTTAGGGTGAAATTTCGGAAAATTTTTAAAATTTTTTATGCGATTTTCGGTTTGAAAATTTACAGAATCTGTTGTAAGAGAAGTTCATAGCACTGTCACAAAAAATCAATTTTCTCCCGGCGGTATTCAAAAAGTTATAAGTGAAAACTGTTTTTTGCCTGACCGACTCTCCTCATTTTCCGTACTCTCTCGAACGAAAATTTTTGAATATTAGTCTGTCGGGAAAATAATGAGCGCACTTTTGCTGCGCCGATCGTGTCGCTGAGATGAAAGGCCGTTTGATTCACAACTAGAAGGCCAATGACGATGAGAACAACGAGATTTACTCCTCCAAAGTTTACCGTGAGGGTAAGTGAGCCATTTGTGCCGCATATCGATTCTTTGGGTCCCATTAGTCTGTCGCAAAGAATAATGATCAGTACGCCATCGCGTCGCTGAAGGAAAAAGTAATTTGATTTTGCCGCGACACAGTTCATACGACAGAGTTCTCATTATTTTCCCGACAAACCGATATCTGATCAGGTTCTGCAATAAGGTGGATAAAATTTTCAGAAATTGATGTTTGGCCTATGTAAAGGAAATTGGTGAGAATTTGAAAAAATTCGGAGTGGCAAAATTTTTTGGATCAGTCAAAAAATCGCTTGTAAGATTCCAAAAGCCCCCCGATTTTTACCGTATTCCCACCTCACCTTCTTCCTTCTTTCCAACTTTTAATCAATACAGCCTCTTCCAATTTGCAGCCCGTTGAGAATCCAATAAAAACATTTTCGATCGCATCGCGCATAAATTGCAAATGAATGGGCGAAATTGAAAACTCAAAAGACCGCAGCGAAAAACTTCAACGCCACAATAAAACCCCAATTTGGTTGGGGGGAATGGGATTACGGTTGTTGTCTCCAGATCCGCATGTCATTACTGCGTTCCGGCGGCGTCTCCAGCCGTGAATGTCGTCTTGGGGGCGAGCAGCCAATCAGCGACGCGCCAGCCGTCGGTTCGCTTCCTCCGCGCTGATTGGCCACGCCCTCTTTTGGGTAATGAAGGGTTTGGCGGCGAAGAATATGGTGGGCGTGTCGCGTACGGATCGTCGTGGGGCTTTTGTAAATGTATGGTTGCGGCGTATAATCGGGGGCACAGAAGGCCTCTTCGTCTTGTTTTACACTGTCTTGTGCACATCTGCCCCGGAGTTCTTGACTTTCTACGGTACTAATTGGTTGATTAAGACGATTTGAACGGCTACAGTCAATTTTGAAGCATTATACTGGCTGAATATTGATCTATAGGTCATATAAAGCTTCTTTAATTACTTGTTTATCATGGATTACTCAAGATTATCAGTGGGCAGTGGATCTGATGAGTCTGTATCTCGAAAAGTATGAGTTTCATCAAGTTTTCTTTGTCTTTCTTAATGTCACGGCAGCTACGGAGAGTTATAACTTCAATTTTATAAATTTCAGCGTCCATTGGACCGATTGATGGTCGAGGAAATTGAGCCGTATGTCCGAAGAAAAAAAGGAAATGGAGATCGTGCAAAGAAGCGGCTGGAAAATCTGAATGAAGAAGTATGTTACAGTAGCTCTATAGTGGTTATTCTTTAATTTAATGGCTGTTGAAGACCTCTAAAAAAGTTTAAATATCTTTTTTGATCAAAATATATAACTCTTGACAATTTTTCGACCAATTTTTGATTACTATTGTTTCCAGGAACAGAACGTCCTCCGGACATGTATAAACTCTCGAGAACGGAAGCGAATGCATGATTTGAATGAAGCCTTGGATGATTTGCGATCAGTCCTACCGCAACAGCAGGCAGCCACCGCCAGGAAATTGAGCAAGATCTCCACAATAATCTTGGCGACAAATCAGTAGGTTAATGGTTTTTTAGAAAATTTTGGGGTTTGTTTTGAGAATTGTGATGATTTTGATGATATCAGTCTGTCGGGAAAATAATGAGAACTTTGTTGCATTTAAAATCGCATCGCTGCCGAGAAAATGAATTGTGTCGCGGCAAAATCAAATTGCTTTCCACTTCAGCGACGCGATCGATGAGGCGATGCGATACTCTGTGTTCATTGTTTCCCGCAAAGACTGATAATACGGTGCGGTAGTTAGAAAGACAATAGTAAATTGGGGTACGTCGTCGAACAATATTTTTTTTCGATTTTGACTTGTAAGACTTATACCTGGTTAGACTGGACACAGATGAAGTTTTTGTTAAAGTGGTCTTGGATTTGGCTCGCCAAAAAGATAAAAAAGAAAGAAAAAATTGATTTTTTCATCGCTGTATTTTATCCTATCACTCTGTCTGGAAAATAATGAGCACAATGTCGCTGCGCCTCTCATGTTACTGAACTGAAAAGCAATTTTAATTTGCCGCGAAAAAAATCATTTTCTCATGGTTTGCCGCACCACAGTTCAATCTTTTGCGATGCGATTTTCGAAGGGACAAAGTGCTCATTATTTTCCCGACAGACTGATATATGCTTCATAAATCTAACATATCTGCCCGTATATAACTTGAATGGCTTTCTAAACCAATCACAATCTCAATCCTTTTTTCAGTATCCGCCAACAAACCGAGCATGTTCGTCTCCTGATGAGTGAGCTCCGAAACCACGGAATCGAGACTCCACCCGAGCCTCAACCCCTTCAAGCGCCCGTATCTCGCTCTCAAAGTCCTGTAGCCAAGGCAGACTCCCCCAAAGTTCAGTTTGCGGCCACACCAACCCCAGCACTCCCATTGGCAATGCCATTCGCCACACTGAACCCCGTCTCCTTGATGTTTTTGAATCAAATGTCCCGCATTTGCATGCGCCATCTGAATCCCACGGCCAATTGCCAGTGCCCGCAGTGCTTCATGAAGGTCAATTGATTTCTGTTGTTAGTCAAATACGATGTGTTTATCGAGAGATGAGTCCCTCTGCCAGGTGCTTCCACTTTTTTTGGTTTTGAATTTGATTTTTTTTCGAATTTTTTGTTGTATTTATGACGGATGTGATTTTCGAATGTATTTATGATGACTTTATGACTTGGTGTGTAGAATGAGTAAACTATTTATTAAATAAATGGTCTTGAATTTTGATTAGAATACTAGTCCGTTAGTAATGTTGCAGTGATGTCTGATTTCGGCGGCATGGACTGTAAAAAAATCTTTTTTTAGCTTTTTTCTGCTCCAGAGACTTTACGAATGGACTAGTAGAGCGGAGTTACCGCATTCGATTTTTCATTCCTGCTGACGTGACTCTTTGGTTCCGGCAGCAACAAATTCAGAATCGGCCTGGTCGTCCAATTGAAGGCCAGGCCTTGATTTTTGTCCCAGCCCCGCTTATTTCTCTTTCCTGGCTGGAACAGAAATACTTTAAATAAGCCAAAAAATGGTGAAAGTGTCCTATACAAGCTTCGAAATGATAGACTGTAACTATATACGTACATACTGCTGGACACATCGAAGATCAATGAAAGTTGACAGTATAATGTCTATGTATGTATAGTATATGTACTATAATATTTATAATACTATTATGTACATATATGCACATGTACTATCAGTATTTTCATAAAGGGCATGGACATTTTTCTCGCGGCCCGCACCGTGCACAGAAAACCCTCATTTTGCACCGTGCATCGAAATATTGCTGCGATATAAACAAGTTTCAACTACGTCGCTGCGCCCGGAATTTGCGCAGTGCGAACCGCTGATTTTGAGGTTTGCACTGTGCGAAAAGACAAAATGCACTGTGCGTTGGCGACAAGTGCGGGAAAAACTTCTAAATGCACTGTGCAAGAGAGAAAAAATGTCCATGCACTTTATCAAAACGATGCTATCATTCTGTCGGGAAAATAATGTGGATTTATCGCTTTTTCATCGCTTTGCGATGATTAGCCGCGGCTGGTAATTTGGCCCGACGATACGGGACATTTTGTTGCGACAAATTCACATTATTTTCCCGACAGACTTTCCCATGATCACTTAGCGAGGACTTGTCGCAGCTATTGTCAGTTTGTCGGGAAAATAATGAGCACAATGTCGCTGCGACAATCGCGTCGCTGAAATGAAAATAAATTTAATCTTGCCGCGACACATTTCATTTACTCAGTTGCGACGCAATTTTCAATGCGACAGAGTGTATGTATAGTATTTTCCCGACAGATTGATAGCCCACCGAATTCAATTAGTAATTGTCCTCCAATCAACCCGCCAATTTGCCCTCCTAATCATAACATTCCCCACTCTTAGTAGGGTAACATTCTGTCACCCCATTGTCTCCCGGAACAACACCAAAGATTGCGTCACAGGTGAGAAGTGTCTGACATAATGCGATTGGCCGAGGACAATCGGAAGCGCTCTCGAGCTTACGCAACCGCGAATTACGATGACTGGCGGGGGATTATCCAGTTCTCGTTATTATTTTTTGACAAATAAGTCAAGAGTGGGGACATCTTGAACACAATGAGGGCCTTGATTTGACGCCCAATTAAGTGCGCGGACATATGGCTAAAATACGAAGTGGAGGTGCAGGAACAAGCGTACTGTAGGAAAGAGAATACGAAGAAATACTGGAGGGCTGCGAGTTGCCGGGATGAATAAAAATTTCCAGTACGATAAGGATATTTTTGCCGGAATACAATGCAAATTTAGCGCAAACTTACTGTAGCTTTGGATTTGTCGACCTTTGGAATCGCCCATCCTCGCTTTGCGACGGCTAGCCGCGGCTGGGGATTTGGTGCGTGACGACGCAAGAATTTTTTCTGCGACAAATCAACATTATTTTCCTGACACACCGATAGAAATATTTGTGAATTTGAGCGCATGGAACAAAATTGCTTTCAAGAAATATTCTCTTGACCTGTTGCGCATGCTTACTCAAGAAAAAATCATTGTTTTTTACGGCTTTTATCTTGATAGGGATAAATTTTTGCTTGAAAGCGGTAATATTATATGTAGTACCTGAAGATTTGCCGAAGGCGCAATCGCGATACTCCCAGCTTTAGAATAGGTCTAGAAAGTCTATAATTTTATGACAACAAGCAACGACAGATGGGGGTACATTCAGAACATGCGACATTTTGTACGCGCATTTTGATTAGAAAATAAATATCAGTCTGTCGGGAAAGTAATGTGGATTTGTCGCAGCAAAATGTCTCCCCCTGTCACAATCGGGCATCAAATCTCCAGCCCCAGCTAGCGTTCCAAGGCGCAACAAATCCACATTATTTTCCCGACAGACTGAGATTTTCTAATTTTAGGGCATATTTGGCTTGAATTTCGGCTTTCTATGACAAAACAAGCAAAAAATCTCAAATCTTCCACAATTTTCAACCTAAAAAGTACATTACCTTTCGGCTTCTTCCTTCCAGTTTTTAAAAATCCCGAGAAAACCCGGGATTATTAGTCCTCTGCCCAAATCTAATTACACGTTACAGTAATCTGCGAGTAATCCGTCAAAAGTCGCTGTTGTTGTGCAGCACCTCCTAATCCGATAATTCCGAACAAACATCCACTGTGGGGTCAGTTGCGAGAAGAGATTCACCTGCCCATAGAGATGGGAAATGAGCGTTACGCAATTCCGATTATGACTGTGTCAAGTGCTTGAGCAAGAATAACGAGATAAAACGTTTGAAAAACAAAGATGGATTAAAATTTTTAGAGCTGAAAATCAACTAACAGGGGAAGTACTCCAAGTGCGACGCTCAGATTTTGATGAAACTTGGCACAAATTTAGAGCAATTTTTTCTAAGATATATGCGAGAATCCTAGCTTGCGCTTTGCAAAAACAACCGAGATTTTCAGATCGAAAGTCGGCCAAAATTTAGGACTTTTTGCCGAATTTTGGCACGAAAAGTTTCATGCCTATTTCCACCGTAAATGATAATGTTTCTACAAAAAACCAAATTTTTCCGCGCGAAACTGCCAAAGTTATGGCCAAAAAGCGCTTTTCTCTCTGACCGCCCTCCACGTTTCGCGTGCTCTCTCGGCGGCAAAAATCGTTCGATATCTCGGCGGCGCCGGCAAAGCGCGAGCTAAAACTTTCAGGAATTGATATTTAGTCTATTCCCGACGTGTGTGCAAAATGTAAAGAAAATCTGAGCGTCGCACTTGGAGTACTTCCCCTGTAAATATTAATATAATAAAGCTTTTGTTTTGGCCTATTACTCTGTCGGGAAAATAACGTGAATTTTTTGCCTCGTCGTAGCGCTCATAGATTTCCAGCCGCGGCTGGCCATCGCAAAGCGATGATGGGCGATTCTAAGGCGCCACAAATCCACATTATTTTCCCGACACACTGATATTTTTGAGGCCCAAAAGCTCAATTTATGTACAAGGGAAGTACTATAATTACGACGCTCAGATTTTCTTTAAATTTTGCACACATTTTGGACATAGGCCACATATCATTTCCAGAAAATTTTAGCTCGCGCTTTGCAGGAGCAGCCGAGATATTCAACGATCTTTGCGGCCGAGAGAGCATGCTGAGCGCGGAAAGCGGTCAGAGAGAAAACGCTTTTTCGCCATATCTTTTCCAGTTTGGGGTGGAAAAACTTGCTTTTCCGTGAAGATATTACCCTCTATGGTAGAAATAGGAATGAAATTTTACAAACAGAAATTTGCAAAAAAGCGTCACATTTATGCCAACCTTCGATTTACTAAAAACCTTGGTTGTTTCTGCAAAATTCTGGCTAATAACCTCTCATATTTCTTACTAGAAATAAAGCAACGTATTTTACCCAAAAAATGTTTCATGGCAACTCTCAAGATGGTATTAATACGTTGTCTTTTACGAGGAAAGTGCTCAAAGCGCGACGTCCAAACTTTGACAAAACTTGGCAAAAATTTTAAATTGTTTTTCTCAAGGACAATACCAAATTCTTCGGTTGAAATTTGACACGAATTGGATACTTTTTTGCGACTTTTGACTTAAAAATCAGTAAACTCTGAGCAAATTTGATGACAATGTAAGCTTCGAACTCTGAGCGCTCCTGGTAAAGCAGCCCTTCAAAAAAAGAACTTTTTTCTACTGCAACCCATTTTAAAACCTTCTAAATTTGCAATGCTTAAAAAACCCTTTTAAAATACGTCCTCCAATACATCCCCTTTCCTTCTTCTTCTTGGCCAACTCCCTTATTTTCCCCACCATTAATTTGGCTCTCAAATTTAACCGATTATGACCTTTCGCCCCAAAACTCGACAGTTTCCAGCTGAGTATTCTCTCTCTTCGACCGCACTTTAATGGGCATACAACACCTCAACGGGGAATCGAATAAAACCGGAGATGGAAAACTTGAACGCATAAATTAATTTGGAAAAGAGATTCCGATGTTTTGATTTGGCGCTAATGAGGTGAGGAATGTGACGAAAAGCCTTTGAAGAAAATTGAGTTAGCGAGGTTTGTAAAATACGCTAAGATTAATTGTAGCAGCGGGAGAAAAATTTGAATACATTTTTTAATTTTTATCAGTCTGTCGGGAAAATAATGAGCACTCTGTCGCATTGAAAATTGCATCGCCAAGAAAGTGAATTGTGCGACAAAATCAAATTGCTCTTCACTTGAGCGACACAATCGGCACAGCGACATTGTGCTCATTATTTTCCCGACAGACTGATAATTTCAGTTCTGGCCAAAGCTCATCTGTAGGATTGCATTTAGATTCTGTCAGATTACACTTGAGAGGCCCGGAAAAATTACTAAATTTTAATTTGTTGTAGCTCCCGAAATTTTCATTTTTGTCGTCTTTCCGACTCTCCTGACAAGGGAGAGTCACTTTTCGATCCATACTGGTGACCTAGTGGATGTTGAAGGCCTCAGAGAGTGCAACAAGAATCTGGCTTCCAAAAGTGTTTACGGGCCCTGAGGGCAGAGTTATGGCTCATCA